GAAAATTTTAAGTTCTACTTTAATTAACAAAGTTACAGTGAGTTTAAGAAAACTTCTATTAAACCACTACTCTTTTATTATTTTAATGATCTCTCAAGTTGAAACTATAACAATACATTAGATGCATATTTTTGCAAAAGAAAAACTTAAAAATCTTTATGGAAAGTCAAGAAAATCATAAAAGTTTAAATAATTAAACCAAAATATTTGTAACGGCTTTGAAAAATTCAAATTTTGTGTGAAATCATGAGCAACACAGAGCAAAACATGTTGCTCAATTGAAATTACAATGTTTTTAAGTTAATTTAACTCGATTTTAAGCATTTTCAACAATGACAATGACTTTTTAATTATTTAAAAATTGTATTCGGTCAACTAGAGTTAGTATTTTTGCTGAAAAAGGAATTTTTTCAACAAGTTGATTTTTTGTTAAAATAACTAAATCTATTGATTTTTATTAAGCTTTAGTCTGATGTTATGATAGAAAATATCATAATCTACAACTTTTGTCAAGGACTTGAACATTTAGCTTGCTTTTTTCTTGAAGAAAAATCAATTTCAAATGTGAATTTGTTAATTAAGCTAACTTATTAAACCGCCATTTTAAAAAACGAAATTAAAAGTCAAACTTTCTGAAATTTGCTATCGACCTGTGAAAAAATTATACAAATTGGATGCTCGGAAGCAAAGAAATCAGCATTTGAAGATTTTTTCCCTTTTTTTCTGATCTTGCCCATGTACTATTGCAATTTATTTATTGCCATTAATGTGGAATTATAGATTCACAAAATAAATTCGATGTATATGTCTTGAATGATGATAATAAACTGCCCTCTTTCTGTTTCCCCTATCCTCTTTAGTGTGACGTTGCCTTGTCATAGGCACGGCTACAACTTCATTTATGAACGACTTCTTACTATTTAATAAGTGAACAACTCTTAAGAATAACAAACAATTATTCGATTCCTTTAGTCAGCATCAATTGGCAGGCCTAACAAAGCATCCCATTTGCCAATCACAAAAAGCAATCAATAACTTCCGTTATCTTTGATCTTGAGTAATTCCAATAAATGAATATTTTGTTTACAAACAAATCTACTAATTTGAAGCAATTGATGCTGAGCAAATTAACCAAAACTTTAGTATTGTTAATTAATTTCATTATGAACCTCACTCCTTTGGAGCTCCTCAATTTATGTGATCACATAGAGAGCTTACACTTTATGTTCATTACAATTACCACTGACTGCATGTTGGAATTCATTACGTCTTAATGGAACAATATCTTCTTCTCTATTAAACTTAATTTTGGGATTATAATAAAATGCCATAAAGAAATATCCACTGTAGTTAAACTGTATGAACACACATTTGTACTATATCTATATCCTTAACTTTTATGTTATTATTTATAAGTTTACAAAGATACAAACGCTTTATGGTGCGATAAAGAAGTATCTTGCCAGCTTGCAAAATGTATGAAACTTATTATCGTTAATCAAAAACTTATTATGTTGTACAAGCAACCGTATTGACTCTAGAGATCGTATAGTTTTCGCTTAGTAAGCGATTGGGCATAGCTTTGTGACTGTCGATTACGATCTATTTAATTGAATTGGAATCTAAATCCAGAAAATTGAGAATTGAGCAATATTGACCTGATCTATAATTTAATGCGTAATTAATCATAAATAATTTGACAATACCCGAATGATGATGTGCTGGCAATAGAGTGTAATTAACCGAATATCATTTTCCTGTCATGACACAATTTATACGTTTTGATGAATAATTCATGAAAATGTTATATTTTAATATTTTGGATGAATTGAACCATTACCCTTTTGTGTTGAGATGTGGGTTTTACAAAATTGGGGCTGTGTTACTAATTGGTTATGGTAAGTAGCAAACATTCTCATGTAGATCTGACAAATTGAATATTATTGACAAAATTAACGGAGTTTCAACGTCTTTTTTTGAATTTTTGCTACAAAGATGCAAAAGAGTGATGCAGAAATTCAAATAAAATCCGTTATAGAATAATCTACTCAATCACATTACTAAAATCAACAGAATACTATCCGATAACTTTTTAATACTAATTGTGCATGTCAATTAATCAAATAAAGTTCAATAAAGAGATAAATTACCAATGGAGAAAAACTAATATTTCCTCAGCATTACACCATCCAATTCCTTTTTAGTTCCATTCGACATAACAATGGAGAGGATACATACAATATTTCGAAAGGATGGAACATGAAAAATTTTCCAGGTCAATAGTTCAAAAGAAAACATGATAATGAAAATGGATATTGATGAATCGTCATTGATATGCTCCATATGAGCCTGTATGAGTATGTGTAAATGTAAGGAATCCATTTCACCCAATTTATTTCTTACTGACATCCAAACTAGCTCTGTAACATTTGGCACTAAAATGTATTCCAACTTCCTTTTGTTTGCAAATGTTGAATTCTCCAAATTCTCTTTAAAAATAAGAAAGAATCTGTGATATGAAAAAAAGGCAAAGAAGAAAGGAAGAAGAAGTAATGGAAAATGGTTCATCAATTCAATCAAATGAATAAGTCTGAATGGAGAGCAGAAGAAAATTTAAGGGCCATCGATTTTGTTAGCTGATTTTCTTTTGAACTAGAGTTTGCAAGTCATTTTGGACTTATGATTAAGGACATGTTTCTGTTTGGAATGGTTTGTTTGAGACTAAGCAAAAACTGAGTCAGACAAACCTTTTTCTGAATCAAAACCAAATATTCGTGACAATTTGTAGGAATCTAGACTTTATCTAGGTTAGAAACTAGTTTAGATATCTAGTCACAAGTATTAATGAAGCAAAGCGGCTGGTTTCTAGGGATTTGCGTGGATTTTTTTCAATTCTAGAGAATGATGTCCTGTATAGTTCTTGAAACTTGCCTCAGAACTTACAGAACTTACTAAAGGCGTTTAGTCATTATCCAGCAAGAATCATAAAAGCTTCTTCTTAAAAAAACCAGTCTTAACCTCAAAAAGTCTCTAAAATAGTGACTCCTTAAAGAAAACTTACGAAATTGTTGCGTCAAAACATTAAATGCGCACTGCAGCCTCTCTAATCACACTTTTTAACTACTTTTCTCCCACTTTAAGTCCTCGAAACTGCTCCAAACAATCAAAAGAATGCCTCCATTGAATAAAAATAATATTGAATGGGAAAAATTGATCATTTCTGGCACGTTTCAGACGCTGTAACCCTATCAGTCCAATAGAAAGCGAATAAATGAAATAAAACTGAATGAAGTACTTATGGATTGCCATGGTTATATTTGATTACCAATTGATTTTCTCATAATATTTATATTTATTGAGTTATAAAGAGATTTACTTGATTCTTTTAGCGATTCCTGGTCCATAAAAAAATTTTACCTTCATAATTTTTTATTCTTGTGCATTATTCATCGCAATAACTTCGTGATTTTATGGGACTTTGCGAATATAATATAAAGAAAATCATGGTCAGTAATAAAGAAGCATTAATCCTTTGACCGACTCTGATTCTTTAACCCAAAAAGTCAAGTTTTTTCACTTCAACTATTAAATAACTTCAAAAATCCTCTTTAGCACCCCATACTTCCATTAATCCATAACTCGATCATTCATGTGTCTATTCAACCTCCTTGTTGGCCTTTTTATAATCTATTCTACCATCAATTTTGATTTGATTTGGGTTACATGGATCATCATCGTCACGAGAAAAAGGAAAATGAGTGGGCAAATTTGGTCACCTTCGATGCTATTCAGCAAGTTTCTATTTGAATGGATTTATCTATTTTTGAAATAATGGGATTTATTGTTCATTTATGGAATGGATTTTGATGACTTTGCGGAAGAGATTTAAGTAAAAATAGAATTGGGATAATAAAGAGATTGTTGTTCAAGTTATTTCAAGTTATTTGGGTAATTTTGAGATTATTGATTGATTTCTTTCTAGCTTGAATATTCTGGACAATTTCATCGACTATAAGCACTCAAGAATTTAAATTTAATGACTTAAAACCTGATACGAACAATTCATGTTTTAAAAATTTAACGATTATAGAAAATTTGAAATTTAACGAACTTATAAAATTCAAGTTTTAAAACCCTACAACAGTCTTGTTTTACAACTTGAAGTTAGCATCATTTTTTAAATTTGAATTTTAACCGTTATTTAACTGACAATTACACAATATTCAATTTCTATTCCTCCAATCATGAGTCTTTAACATTTCTTCTTCACACAAATTACCATCAAAATAGCTCACTTTAATCTCCATAACCACATTCCGTCACCATCATCATCATCATTTTAAAATAAGGAAAAACGGAGATGTAAGAAACTTAAAGATATAAATTGGATTGGGAAAAGCTGGACATAAAATAAAACGAAAGTTAAATGTTGTTTCATCTTTTTTTTTAAAATTATTATGTCAATTCCGTTGTCTTCACATTTCCTTACTCGAATAGGCGGTAAAATGCAAAAAGGAAAGTTAATTTAATTTCATTATTATGATACAGTTACTGTCAATTTTAATGGATATTCTAACAACGCCTTGATGCTCATTGCTATATTCTCTCAAATTTCTCTCTCGTGAGAGTTTTCCTATTCACCACTGGAAGCTTTTCCAGTTTTCAGCATATTTCCAATTTTATTTGTGTGTGAAAAATAATTTTCTCTTAGTTATTCCTGCTTATTCGTTAAAATCGCACGTGTGAAGCTTGTCATAATTGAAGTCTTTTTTTAACGGAAATATTTTGAATTTTTGAAGGGGGAAACAAGACACAAACAAGAGTTCAAAATTTCTCCTCTAAAGCTTCAACTAATTAAGCTATAATTTTGTCAGTAGGTTTCAAATAGTTCACTTAGAAGATCATAAAAATCCTAGCTCTCTAGCTGTAGAAAGGAAAAAGTAGCATAACGGTTAAAAAATATTTAAATTCATCAGCCGACCAGAAAAAATAAATAAACTTTAAGAATTCACTGTAAATTTAAGTTTTTATTTATTTCATTAGTAATACTCAGTCATTTAGTCATGCTGCAAGCAGAATCTTCACCGTACATATTCAGTGTGCTATATGATATTATATTCCAGGTGAATATCTGTGTAAATAATGATGAAACTTAAAAATTTACATTTGTGTAATTAATTATGATAGGCACCAACATATGTCATTTTTTTGGAATTGTCTCTTCTTCTTCTCGTCATTTGGATAATCATACATAAGCAATCAAATGGAGGAAAGCATTTAACACAGAAACAGAAAGAAGAAATTATCAAAAATTGGGTTTCGGAACCTTTGGTCGCTGAAATTGATGAGAATCATCCGGCACTTCAGAATAATCACATCGTAGATGGTCCAATTGGAAAATTCATAACTGTAGATGGAATAAAGTGCTTAAATATGGCAACACACAACTATTTGGGTCTTGAGGAATATCCAAAGATAAAAGAGAATGCAATTAATTGCATACATAAATACGGTGTTGGAAGTTGTGGACCAAGAGGCTTTTACGGCACCGTCGATGTTCATTTAGAGTTAGAAGAGAGATTAGCGAAATTTATGGATCAAGAGGAAGCTGTCGTTTATTCCTATGCATTTTCAACTGTCGCTAGTGCCATTCCAGCCTATTGTAAGCGTACTGATATAATTTTCGCGTAAGTATATCATGAGATAAGCATATATGTTGATGTTCATTTAATAATGTTCCTCTCATTAGTGATGAATGCATTAATTTTGCCATCCAAAAAGGCATTGATGCATCTCGCAGTAAGGTCGTTTATTTTAAACACAATGACATGAGAGATTTAGAAAAGAAGCTACAAGAGCAGGCAAAAGCTGACCAAAAAAATCCCAAAAAGGCTGCAAAAACTCGTCGATTTTTAATTGTTGAAGGAATTTACATGAATACGGGTGAAATGTGTCCATTGAGGGAATTAGTCGAGTTGCGCGCAAAGTATAAACTTCGATTATTCCTCGACGAAACAGTCTCATTTGGAACAATTGGAAAATCCGGTCATGGCATTACGGAACTCTTGTGTGTGGATATAAAAGAAGTGGATTTAATTTCAGCATCACTCGAAAATGCGGTTGAATCAATCGGAGGCTTTTGTGTGGGATCTCATTTTATTGTCGAACATCAACGCTTATCTGGACTTGGATATTGCTTTTCAGCATCTCAACCTCCGCTATTAACCCAAGCTGCCATTTCCGCACTTGATATTTTCGAACAAGAGCCACGAATTTTTGAGCAATTGAATGATGTTGCGGAGAAAGTTGATGAACAATTTCGGTATTTTACGAAACTTGAGTTAAAAGGACATCCATTATCGCCTGTTAAACATTTATATTTGAAGCATGTTGATGATTTGGAAGAGAGTGAGAAGATATTGAGGAAGATTGCTGATGAGGTGAGCTTACTTTGGTCTAATTGAAGCTTTGATGATTTTTTTTTTCTCCCATCAACAGTGCATGAAGAAAGGCTTGGCAGTTGTTGCAGCCGAATATTTACCAATTGAGAAATTCCCACCAAAGAGAAGCTTAAGAATAACTGTAAATCGACTCTTAACAGCCGATGACATCTCGAATGCATACAAAATTATAGAAGAAGTCTCAAAAAGTATCGCTTAAACCTGAATATTATTTTTTTTTTTAAATTAAATTATCATAAAAATGCATGTATTAATTATGTTAAGTAAATTAAAAATTATTGCGCTTTTTAAAAAATTACAATAAATTTAATCAATTTTGCATCATTAAAACAATATGAAAAAGCTCGAGTAATTGTCGCCAATTTATTAATTATCATTAACAGTTAATTAAGAGTTCATAAATTGAACAATGCGAACACTTTGTGTAATGAACTTAAACTTTCAATCAACTGGCTGTGATAATTACTGACATTCTGATGAAAATTGAAAAAAAATTGTTGTTGCTGGCTGTCACTATGCTCGTTATTTTGTATATCAACGATTTTTAATGACAGATTATCTGCTTGTGGATCATGTTGATATTCATATTTTGTCTGGCTTTTTGTTAAAATTTAATCTGGGACATTGTTTTGAAGAAAAAGGTTGATAATTGGTGTCATGTTATGCTTTATTGGTTGAAATTGTTATTTAAATGCTTTTTGGATTTCATGAATAGTTGAAATTCGACTTTATTGACATTTTTGCTAGCTTGAGACTGATTAAAGTTTTAATATAAGAATTCAGATCATTTTTACTAGTAAAGTGCTTGAAAACCTATCAAATGTTTGCTTTTGTAAGGTTTTAACAATAATTCTAAAATAGAAACCTTTCAAATGTTCTTAAAATTCGCTGTTATATGGTTTCAAGTTCAATTACTCTCGGAACAATATAAATGTTTCAAAAATAAACACTTGAATGGTTTTGATCAAACTCAACTTTCAAAACCATACAAATGTTTTTTAAATTTGAAAATTCCGTTCGAAACCCAATTTAAAAAATTAATAAGAGCTTGAAATCAGCAGATCAACGATTGAACTAAATACTTTTTATTCCTACAAACAAAAATGTCGATAACTTTACATAAATTCTATAGACCTACAATATTCTCTGTGTATAAAAATTCTGTGACAACACTAATCAATTGGATAAGAGAGAAAATAATATGTTTTTCATCAAATGACAACAATAATAGCATTAAAATTCAAAATGAACAACAAATTGTGATTTAATCAGATGCTTTAGCAAAAACAAATGCTGTACGGCTCGGAATATAAACACACATGTGATTACGTCTACCGGCATATCCTTCAGGGAAGGTGTGATGAATTGCTGAAGAATCGACACGATTAAAGCCTCCGAATTCAGGTGCATCTGAGTTAAGGACAATATTGTACTTTCCGGGAACTTCAACGCCTAAGGAATTGAATTTTAATTAATAAGTCATGATTTTGGAATAAAAAAATTCAATTTACCAATTTTGTAGTCACTAAAGCTCTTAGAATTGTGGAAATTAATAACAAAAACAAGCCCAGATCGTTCAAAAACAATGACTTTATCGTCTTCATGCTTCCAGCTGACATATCCAGCATCATTCTTACTCAACCATCCATATTTCTCTTCAGTAAAGTTCATCGAACGATCCCAATTATTCAGAAACTTGTATTTAAGCAAATCATTATCAACTAAACTCCATTGACGTCTACAATAATGGAATGACTCATTGTTTCCAATTCTAGGAAAGTCAAGCCATTCAGGATGTCCAAATTCATTACCCATGAAATTCAAGTATGCTTCACCGCCAAGTCCATTCGTAATTAAACGAATTAGCTTATGTAATGCTAATCCACGGTCAATAACCAACGATTGTTCAGATAATGTTGACATGTGACTATACATCTCTTTGTCCATTAGCCAAAATGCCAATGTCTTATCGCCAACCAATGCTTGATCATGACTTTCTGCATAAGCAACAGTTTTTTCCTTCCAACGGCGATTTGTTAAAGTATGAATAATATCACCAACTACCCAATCTTCATCTTTTTGTTCCTTAAGAATTTTAATCCATTTATCAGGAATAGCCATTGCTAGTCGATAATCAAATCCACAGCCACCTTCATTAAATGTCCTACATAATGTTGGCATTCCACTCACATCCTCAGCTATTGAGATAACATTTGGATCTAAATCGTGGAGAAATTTATTTGCCAGTGCGAGATAAACGAACGAATCTGTGTCGACATTAAGACCGAAATATTCATCGTAGTGTCCTGAAAATCCTTCGGCGATGCCGTGAGAATGGTATAGCTGTGGAAAATGAGATGAAATCAATAAGATGAAAATGAATATTGAAGGTCAAATTGTTTTTTCTTTGCGATTCGGTAAATGAAGATGAATTACTTTACAAATTGGAAATTGCTGTGGATACTTATTGTGGGAGTATTTACACGAGATTTGAGATTTCTTCTTGGAGATTAAATTTGAATTAATGAAGATAAAGTGAATTCAGAAAATTATTTTAACGGATTTGTAAAATTTGAGATTTTTAACGAGTTTGTAAGATTTGAATTTATTGAACGGTTTGGTGAAATCAAATTGGAACCCTAATCCAGAGTTGCGAAACAGGTCACCTGTGACAGGTGAGAACCTTTCAATTCCTTGATAATTTGTATGGTTTTGTTAGAAAAACCTTATAAATTATCAAGGAATTGTAGGGTTCTCACCTGTTTCGCAGCTCTGCCCTAATCGCAACGAAAAGCAAATTAAACTCACCATTGACGTTACGCCATCGAATCGATATCCATCAAACTGATATTCATCATGCCACCAACGCAAATTAGAAATCAAGAAGCGCATCACTTCAAATTCAGTGTAGTTAAAGAGCCGAGAATCCCAAAGTGTGTGTTCTCCGCGAGCACCGTCATGGAAAAAACCAGCATTTGTGCCATCAAATTGATTTAATCCGTCCTGCACGTTTTTGCTCGCATGTGAATGAACGACGTCAAGCATAACGTATAAGCCATGCTTATGTGCAGCATCAATCATATATTTCAACTCATCTGGCGTTCCACAACGAGATGATGCAGCAAAGAAGCTTGTGACTTGATAACCGAAGCTTGCATAATAAGCGTGCTCCATAACAGCCATAACTTGAATTGCATTATATCCTTGACGGACGATTCGAGGAATGACGTTATCAGCAAAGTTCTTATATGAGCCAATTTCATAATTTTCAGTTGCTATTCCAACATGACACTCATAAATGCGAAGTGAACGTGGTGCCTTTGGACGCTTATTACGAAAATGATATTTCTCGTGTGCTGGTGGATGCCACACATATTGCTTATAATTTGTACCCTGATTAGCTGATTTCGGTGGTTGAACGACATACGGAGCCCATGGACTTAGACGGTCAACGAGCTGATCATCTTGTCGACGAACAATCACTTTAACTTCCGACATGTGCTTAATTTGACATGAACCGTCCTCTGCAGGTGGCATTTTTAACTCCCATTTACCGAATGGCAACTTTTTGAACTCATGTGATAGCCATTGCCAGTTATCTGAAATTGAGAAGTGTGAAGGGTTATTAATTGCTGCTTGTTTGGAGATTATTGTGCTACACGACTTTAACTTTTACCGATATTTCGAACTTCGAAATATAACGGAAATATTATTTTTAAATTTTCACTTCTTTTGACGCAAAATTTAAAATCTACAAAACCGTTAAATTTTGAATTTTACAAAACCGTTGATATTATCAATTTTGGAATCTAAAAAATTTACAGCTTTAAATCCAATTAAGCTAAAATGAATTTTCATTACTTCATAAATTGCACTAATTATTAATCAGTTTCTTATCCATCATCAGTAAAATGTGAATAAAACAAATTTAATTGAGAAACAGAAAGTTTTGCGTTCATAATCGAGCAATTTACGTAAATTAGAAACGTGTAGCACTAGAAGTAAACAAAATCATCTCACAACTTACTAAAGTCACCAGTCAAATACAATTGTTTTGCTCCTGGCGCCCATTCTCGAGCAATAACCGAGTTATCATGTTGAATATGAATGCCATAATAATTGTAACCTTGTGAAAAATTATCAAGTCCACCTTCCGACTCTCCAATACTTTTCATCCAGTCTTTAACGATGTCATGTCTATATTGTTATTAAATTTTTATTTACATATTAAATTATTTTCTTATGTTTGATAAGCAATAATCGTGATTATTATCAATAAACCATTTGTTTGTAATTCGTGCAATTCTGTACAGGCGAAAACAACAATTTTTTTTCTCTCATGCCGGCACATCCCATTCGCATTCGTTACGCACGTGAAAGATTCACATTAAAAAAATGTTTATGACAAACGTTTTTGAAGATAAAGAGTCGCGCGACTCACTTGAATTATGTAATGGGGAAATCTTCTTTCTAGAGTCGACGAAATAAATCGTGACACATTCGTGCTGTATTTTTTTTAAATATTTTTTCGTTCGCTTGGGGACTGCGAATGACGTGATAACGAATCAACAATTAGGTGCAGAGGTTGAATTTGGAAGGGTAATCAAGGTGATTTGGATTGTCTTTTATCACGAACTGTATACTTTATGTGATTTTATTGTAGTTTTTGAACTGAATTGGAATTGCTTGGAAAATATCAGTTGTTTTTAAATTTAAAGAATAAAAGCCTTTAAATGAAATTCAAATTTTTAACCGTATTGTGAGATTTGAATTTCCGAAGCTATACAACAGTTCTCCAAAAAGCTCAAATACCATACAAATGTTTTAAAAATTCAAATTTCAATAATCCGTTAGAAATCAAATAAAGAATCTAGGTTTGAGGACAGAATCCCTGGATCTTTTCCATCAGTTGCCAGCCAGCGTACAAAAGAGAAAAATAAGATGAAAAGAAAATGCACACTTTTGGCAGCGAGTATTAAGGTTTTCCAAATATTCCACTTCATAAAAACAGAATAACAAAGTCATGACACTAATAAAGCAGTGGCTATTTTTACGATAACGCATCGTTTCATTCATTGAAATGCTGCAACCGATGATATTAATAATTTCTTCTAGAAAGCACCAGACACGCGAGAAAACCGTGATCAGATGATACACATGCTTAATGATAAAAATACTATTTTCGACAAGTTAATTGTAGAATTACAAACAAATACAAGGCTATTGAAGGTATCCTAATTAATTTACCTTCTCCGGATCTCGCCTTCATAAGGTTTCAGGTATGGATCATCGTGGAATAATTGCTCGATGTTATCAGCACTTTTAACCTTCGACATTATCACAAAAATGCACTTTTACTATTGATTAAAATTTGTATTATCTTCACTTCTTTAAAGCCTTATCACAATTCACAAAACAATAAAATTAAATTAATTAAAAGCCGGCTTTTAAACTGTATCTCTAAAATTGTACGTTTATACCAGTCGACGATTCACAGACAACTGATTATTAAATGGAATATTTTTGTTCACTTGATTAGACTTTTCATTACAATATTCTTCTGCTCCCTTCCTTTTGTGTTAATTTTATTATTTATTAATTTGATGTGTTGGTGACGAGAGAATTTTTTTTTCGAGTGCATTCCTATGAATGTGTTGGTGAACTTGATTATTTCCTATGCCAGCATAGAGGCCGTTCACTTATTACGTTACGCAAAAACTTTTTTCACCCCCCCCTCCTACGCCCTTTGTTATAATATGCTACAACTCACAACCCCCCCCCCCCCTGAACGTTCATAATTTATTTTATCATTAAAAAGGTGGAAAATTTAAAAAAATGTTTTTGGTGTGAATTTGTTAACAAATTTTTGACACCCCCCCTATATTACATTTTGTTACAATTTTTCAAAACCCCCCTCCCCCCTAAAATGCGAACGTAATAAGTGAACGGACCCATAAATGTTAATGTCATGCAAAGAATTTCATGTATCTAGCATGTTTTAAACCGGTTTTTGGGCACTTTATTATATACAAAGATTTGAATTTTAAATTGCTGTTGGAAATTTAAATATTGAAAATCCGTTGAAATTTTAAATTTCTTTTAAGTCGTATTATACAGTTTTAACTTTGTGTTGATGAATCAGAGTGATTAAATGAATCTATTTTTATATTTGTCAGATCAAATTTTATTTTTGTGGATTTTAAAAATAAATTCACGTGTCGAGATTGATACTTTTAAATACATTTTTGCAGTGCTTTTTAAAGAGATTTCGACAGCAATTTAATTATGACACTTTGTAAACGATAAATAATCGTCTACCAATATTTACCTAGAAAATATGAAGAAGTGAATCTTGTTTTGATTTATGAATAAACTTCGATACAAAAGCGACTAAATTTATAGAATTTGATGCAGCAAAAGGTTACAGCATGTCTAAAAATAGATTCTATTGAGATCTTATTTGTGAAAAATCTATTATATTGTACTACATATTGTTTGACTTCCTATCGACAATATTAATCTCTTAAAGTATAAATCAGTTTCTATAGATACATCTGATCTGCTGCACTAGACTATAATAATAAAATAATCGAGCTTAAAGAGGAAAAATTCATTCATTAAAGTGAAAAACATTTTCTAATTAAATCAGAAGGGTTGATGAAAAGATTTGAAGCACATTAAAGAGTCTTCCAGAGCCGTAGTTTGACAAATTTTGGGCCCTTTATTCCTCAACATCCAGTCGAAAGCAATTGTATCAAAAACTCCAAGAATTGCTCATTTCCTCGTATCATCTTGATTATTGGATCTTAAAAAAATATACGTATGAAGAACGATGAAAGAAAAACAGCAAGCGAAAGAAAACTTTTTTAATTAAAGGGAAGAATGGGGAAAGATGAAATGCGAGAAATCATTAAAAGATGGATGGAAGGTCAGTTTTTAATTTCACATCGTTAGAAATGACTTTTTCATCGTTCACTCCTTTCTACCTCGTGCTCAACATAATATCTATGAATCAATACTTCTTATTTTTGTTTTTAAAAGTAATTCAATGAGATTGCTTCACGCTCAACTGCATTGTTACAGACCTTATCATGTTTCCAACGAGTTCTATTGTCACGTTAAATGTCATCGAGTGATATTAAATGAGAGTGAGAGAACAAATGTAGGAATTGAAAAGGTTGGCGTAGTTACAGAGTTTTATTGATGTTCTTCTGATTGCTTTTGTGGATTTAATGTTTAGAAGGTTAAACTTTGATTTGAAATTTTTTGAAACATAATTTTTGATATTCATTTCTTTTGAGATTTAAATTAAATTCATTTTAGCATAGTTGTGTACCCCTTTTTATCCAAATATTCCGTCTGGGTTTGAATTTCAAACAACAGACGTCAATATAAACTTATCAGCATCTAATTTGATTAACTGAACTAGTTTTCAGCATTTAATCCAATCTGTAAAAAAAGCAAACCACATTTTTTTATGAATTATTATAATTTGCTTATTTTTTTTCTCAAAAATAATTTTTAAGAGCAATATTCATAATTCATATACTTAAAACCACACTTACTTAACCTTTTTATGAACAACTTTTAGCTTATTATATTTGCACTACCCCAAACTCAACCGACTGTAGAAAGGTTTTAAAAAGGCTCGTAAATTTTACATTTTCGCTTAATTGCTTTATAAATCACTAAAAAGTAATGACTTTCGGCCAATATTTTACACAATTATAATAATATCCACCTTCATAATACTAAACTTAGTGAACAATATTTAAATATCATTCTATAAGATTAGCATAAATGTAATTTAATGCATCATAAATCAAAAGGGAAATTACGCCAAGTATTTTTATGATTATGAGGCAGCAACAGTAAATTGTGACTGTAAACAGCATAAACTCCATAAATATATCAAATGAGATAGAGATTCTAGAGATTAGAGGCAATGGAAAATGTGTAAATCATAAGATTAAAGATACAATTTTGAGGTTAAGAGTTTCTTTTTAATTTTTAAGGATTAAATCTGTTTGCTTTTTGAATTAAGTTGTTTATTCTGAAGTGATTGATGCTGCTTAATTTGGATCTTTGAATTCAAAGATGTTAAACAAAAAATTAAATTTCAAGATTAATTTGCATGCATATCGAGAATTGACATAGAGCATATAAAGAAGAATACATTCCATCCAAGAAAAGTCAATAAGAAAACCTTGTAAATTCCCATCAAACATTTCAATCAAATGAAAAATTCACAATAGCTTTGTAGAAATTCAATCGAGCCCAAATACAAATTCATTCTGACCCACTCGAGCACAATTTTTTCTTAAGCTCAATTCTCATCATGCTATGCCAACCATTTTTGGTCCGATTATGTGAAATTATGAAAATGTTATCATCCATTCTCAATAATTCCCAATAGCGATAAAAACTTTTTTTTTATTTCAGACTCTTGCAGTCGTTCATAGAACAAAGCAGAAAAGGAATTGAGGATGAGCATAAAGTGGTTATAATTATAAATTTTCCTATGCTATATATACAGCAATTATCAACTTTTATGGTCCTCATTCATAGAACATAGTTCTTTTCCACACAAAAAAAAAATATACATTCATACACGAAATTTATGAATTCATTGAAAGCGCCGTCTCGCTTCTGGGACAAGAGTAGAAAATTTGGCGAATTAAATTTTTTGTTTTACTCGACTCTGCATGTACGTTTAGAGTCCATGGAAGTTAGAACAAGATAAAGGGGTGTAGTCAGGGGTTAAAAGGTGCCCAAATTTTCAGAATCATATAGATAGCTTAATTTAGAATATGCAGGCTCGAGTCAATTTAAGAAAAACTTGCAAGCAAACCCACCAACATCCCCAAAACTTTGTATGCTCCAGTAAAGAAATTTATATGAACAAGGAATGAAAGGAGAGGAAATTTCTGCTGTGGTTTTTCGAAAGGAAGGAACAAATAAAAATATTTTATCACACTTTTAAAGGCACAATGATGTGAAACGAGAAAGTTTACTTATTTAATCGATGATCAATTTATAAACGAGCGCATACAATAAATGTTTAGATTTACAAAATTTGTTGATTTTTGCAGTATTGTACATATTTTTATTTGGATGGAGAATACGACAAAGTTTTGTATTTCCAAATAATCTTAATTATGCCTGTAATATACATCATGTAGATTAAAGTGATGTTGTTGCCGGAGAGAAGATTAAAATGTTCATGGAATGATAATGAAGTAAGAATTATGAATAATTTATCGATTATTTCACGAATGTAGTTTAATGGTCTTATTGAGAAAAGTTGTGAGCTCATTATGCTGATTTGATTTCCTTGTCTGATTGTGGTAAGTGATGTCGAACATGAAATGAGATAGGATTTAACGCGATTTGTGCTTCATTGGCTTGTCATTCTTAACATTTATGGGATTGAATAGGAATCTGATGTATTTGAATAGATTTAAGGCTAATGAGTGATTGGATTATTGTAGTTTAGTGCATGTTTAGGATGGATTGTTATTACATTCATGGGTTTTTAATCAAAAGTATTCACAGATATTCGAACAATTTTCTTTATGAGTTCCTGTTTCATTTTGTAAAGTCCAAAAGACTTTTACAAAAAGCTAAGTTTGGTTCAGTGCAAACCTACCAATCAGATTTGAATTCCTGAAAGCCTATATCGCCCTTTGTATCAGTTGAAAAGTCAGCCTTTACTATCATAAGATTTCATCTCTCACAAATTAAAACCAAAAATACAGATTTACCCACACAATCGTAGACATCACGTTCCATCTCACTCCCAGTTAGCTACAAACTATTTCATTTGATTTACAGTAATTTCATGCAAGCAGAAACCATAATTATCCCTTTATCCGAATGAAAAAATAAATGGGACACAAATAATTTTAATTGTTGACTCAATTTCTTCTTTATCGCCAAATAATGAGTGGATTCATTTCATTCGGAATGCCATATAATTTTTTTAAGGCACTCAAAAAGGAATCGGTAATAAATTTTCAACAACTTTTTTTTGTGGAGAGAAAAATAAACGAAGTCATTAAAAATTGGTCATGTTTACTTAATAATTGTATGCCACATAAGAAGAATGGAATCAAAAATCATAAAAAAATAATGGAACTTTTTTTGAAATCCCGGGGCACTAAGTATTGAGACATTCTGGTTGCTGAAAATGATTCAGATTTTTAAATGGTTTTTGATAAACCAGCAATTTTTCATCATAAAAGCAAAACAATTAAGGATCAACTACAAATTCACAAAATCACGTCCTTAAACCATCAAAAAGCCAACTAGACATGCATTACTCGGACTTTTAAAAATTTCTCAACATAAATAAAGCTGAAGGTTTCGAATCTCATTCTTTTTTATGATTTCCGATCGTTAATAAGTTTAGATAAGTTTTCGTCCCCAAACCATGATTGTATAAACGGCTGTTCATTCTCCCACGACAATCGACTATGAAAAAAGAAAAATCATTCTTCTTCCTCGACTGCAATTATCGAAAAT